TCTACATTGTTGTCAGCATTTGTAAACGAACAGAATTCACGAAACAGTAACACCTTGTGGAAATTCAAAACATCATCACCAAATAATCTCTCTGTACACTGATTACAAGTTCGACAGTAAATATGACAAAAACACACCTTAACCCAACTAGTGTTGAACCATACTAGGATTGGTCTTTCTGTCACGGGAATTCAGTAAACTATCGAATAAGATAATTTAGTCGTTCAATCAATCAAGTCGTGCTATTTATCTGTACACTGTTCCATGTTATCGTGGATAACATAAAAGGTGGTGCTAGATAAGATGGAGCTAACCATTTCACAGCTTCAACATCTTGCATGGAAATATGAACGAGGCTATTGAAATGAAATCGCGAAATTACTTGCCCAACTTATTCAAATTCGTGCACAACATTGCTTGTGTTTTCTATTCAAGAGGACGACTACTCAGTGTAATATTTGTTTTATTTTCAGTGTGATATTTTGCACAGTAATACATTGATCTATCTTGGTGGAATGCATTTTTAACTTATCAAAGACATTGTTCGGAGTAAATTAACGTGAATTAGGTTGAGTAAAGCAAATAACATTCGATTCTGTTGAAAGTTCAATTGTGTGTTTTTCAGTGATCAATATTCAGAAAGATGTACGAGTTAGTATAGGAGTGAGCTTATTTTTGACTGGTGTTGTTGTGATTTGCAGATAATAACTGTTCGTTTGTTGAGGTCATTGTTGTTCTTACTGTGCGTCGAAAGAGCAGTAGTTGTTCCTCGTAACCATGTTTAAATCATAAGCTGCGTGTATATAATACTCTGATGCATGAAGGCAGCAATCCAATGTTCTTTTGCATTTAAAAGTTAACGAAATCAAATATAAGAAAATTGAAATCAACATGTAAATCTTAACAAGCACATACCTTGTTATCGTCCGCATTTCTTGAAGTAGTATCGTCGATTAGGTTGAAAGTTGTAGTTGTTTGCAGTTGAGGTTGAGAAATATTCTGAAAAATTAAATCATATACTCAGTGTTTAACAGTGAAATACTTCATTCATTTTACATTGCTTTCAGACTAAAACGAACCGTAGTTGTATTGTTCCAGTGTTGCCCAGTCTCTGAATCATCTAAATGAAGTCAATAACTTAGAGACCAATTAAGAGTGAATAAATGACTTTGCGGATTTAATAATTCTAGTCGGCCTAATCAACAAAGAGCAACTACAAGCCGTTACTTACTCTATATCAAACTTCAAAATATCCACAGCATCGATAATTATCTCTTGAACTGTTTACTTAAACCCTTGGGAATAATTCTTGCAGATACTGAAGTTTCACAAACATGACGTGCCCGTGTGTCATTATGAGTGTGTGCAGGTTAATAGTTAGAGTTTCATGTCACTTTTGAATGACTGCACGCTCAATGATACTGAATTCTAAAATATTTTATATCATGCAAGTCATGATGTATATCTATTCATTGTTTCATGTTTCCAGAGATAGAATGTTCCCGGCGGTAGAATAATTGCTGCCAAATATTGAACGAATTGTCTAACCGATTTAAGAAATAAATGCTTTGCAACACTTGCTCGCAACAATTACATGTCAAATGTTCAGTGGACATTTAAAATAACTGAAATCAGAATTTCGAAAACGACCGATAAAAAATATAATAAGTACTTACCGTTTTATAACAGTCGTTTTCTAACCACTTCTGGATGTGAATATCTTGACCAGTGCTACATTTGCTGATAGTCGGACACCAATAACATTTAAATTTAGATGTGGTTGCGTCAAAGCAACTTTCATTTGATTGTTGCTTGAAACAAACTTCTGTGGAAACAATACGATAACAGTAGTTTTAGATCTAGAACAGATGTCAAACGAAATATCAATATTGCTACTTATAATGAACAATATTTTACATCAGTACACCGGTTACAACGAGTAATTTTCATGCTACGAATGTGTCCATGGAGTCTGATAGATGATGCTTGGTTTCAAAGTGATCGACCTCTACCTGACACTTGTAGGGTATTGATATAATTGAGAGTTTCTGTGATTTAACACCTCATGGAAATTCAATATAACAGTCAATCAGTGCAACTGGAATAGAAATGGTAATCTTGATAATATTTTCGATTATTGGTTGTTTGACTATCTTATCCATTTTAATGATGTTGACTGTATGGAAGTGGAGTATTCAGAACTAATGCAGAACATAACCAAATGATTTTTAATAATCGATAATGAGAAGAAATGTAATCTCGCATTGTAAAGAACATTTATATCTGTTGAGATGAGTCGAATGTAATTAGAGCCAGTAAAATGTTACGTTGATTAAAATTACTCAGTTATTAACATACTTGGCATTGGTTGAAACTGCACTAATGTGCGAGATTTGATTAGCGATTTCGGAACTTCTATTTTATTCCGAATGCTGTGTGTTCCACTTACATCACCACCTTAGTAGACAAAAAAAAACAGAGTAAATTTTTGATCTTGAATCAGGAGTGATAATGGAAAATTGAGCAGCACTTAATCCAAAATCTTCGTAAGTAGATTCACATTTGAAATTACTTATTGACTAGATATAGACTCAGTAATACATTTGACCCGTTATAAATGTATGTAAATATCACTTAATTGAATATCTAGAACACTGCGTCTGCTGTGTACTGTGATATATTAGGAAAGGAGAATGCAAAACACTCCGATGATAATGATTAACAATGTGCGTTACCACAAAATACCTAACCAAATCGAGATTCGACATCGTCGGGTACTATTGATCAACAATAAAGCTAACGATTATGGGATCAATCACATTCTGTTGAGTTAGTCGTTAGTTGGAAAATTTGATTTATACACTAGTTGAATCATCAACAAGCTTTGTGATCTAGTCAAATTCTGACACATGATTACGTATGCTCTTGAGAGCTGGCCTCATGAAGTATGATTACATTCTTCACGTTCATATTTCTGAACCTGATGAGATTTATGAAGTGAACGTACTTCTAGAACAATTTCCAGAACGACTTCAAACGTATTCTGATTCATCTTTTTCTCCGTTGCAAATCAACAATTCAATGTTGATATAGCTGTACAAATATTAACTGGAATGTTGGCTGTTCAGTGTACATTGTTGATTGTAGGTGATTATGTGGCACCCGAGATAAGTTGAGAATGGTCCTAATAAAAGTAGAAGCTGTGTCATCAGCGATTATAAATCCTTATCAATTAGTAATCTAAATAACTGAGTCCCAAATGTCGGAAAACTTGTTTCAGCTACATGTAAAGCTGTTTTACACAAATGTCTAATTGATAGTTATCTGGAGAAGGAAGTAGGACAATCACGTAGAAAAGTAATGCCAATTAACACAAATTGAGATCTTCATCAGTAAACTAGTCTTCCGATCGAGGTGACTTTGGCATTACCTATATTTTAAATTGTTGTGAATGATTCGAGGAGAGATGTGAATTCTCAAACCTATGAGCATAGAGATTATAGGTAGAGTTTTGATAATTATATGAATGAGATCAGCATGGGTTGGTTCAGTTTGCTGTTGAGTGAAAACAATGAATTCAGGTGGCCTAATTAGAGTATGTTATTATTTGAGGTGATCGAAAACACATAAAGCCAATTATGCCAATTGACAAACGGTAATGGTTTGTAGTCTTGACTGAGCCAAAATGTGTCTGCTGTTCAAGTGGATTTTCAGTGTACAACAGACAATAATTGCTTGTTGAAGTTAAGTTAACGAATGAATGATGAACAAGATCCTTGTACATCGAAACAAAAACAAAGTTCTTTTAAATGTTTCTTACTCAGTCCAATGTCTCTACAGATCCAATCATTCCAAATCTCCGAAGTAATTTCACTGGGAACGATTTCATTAGGTATCTAAAAATAAGTTATGGAAATTCGAGTCAACATCTGTAAACAGATAGTCTCCTCCATTCAATGCATATCTATTCACAGTGTTGGCATAACTTCATGATTTCAAATAAAAACGTCATTGAGGGACTCAACATTGACATTTTCATTGCTGAATTACTCTTAGTCGTTTCACTGAAGGAATAATGCATCGTTTATCTTCCACAGAATGCACTTTAGATCTTTAATCTATACTTCGACACGACATTGGGGTATAGATTTACGTCCTCGAATGGTTACATAACATCACTAGTTCTATAGTAAACGGAGTGGTTCGATTTCTCATTAGTGATTATCGCTCAGAATTATTTCTATGTTGATTAGCGAAAATCTCCTTCTGAGTAGTTGACGAAAGTCTGTTACAATCAGTAAAATATTTTGTCATTTAGACTGTTTAGTGGTGCCTTTCAGTTAAGCGGTGTATTGGCATGCATATCAGTTTTGTAGTGAAAGAGAGAGTAAATTCAAATGAGACATTTTAATTCACTTTGTATAATATCCAAGTATTTGACTTGCCTTTTCGTAGTAAAATGATATGTTACCATTCGGATATAGATAAGTATAAACCTGAACTGGATTGTGATTCAAAGAAATCATTAGGCATGTTTATTATATGAAAGAGCATCAATTCGTGCGAATTATTGTCGAATACAACACTGTACAGATGTACGACCAGTAATAAACAAAATGTTTCGCGTCTATACGATCACAGTGAATACTTTAAAGTGGTTGACAGGTTAGTGAAACGTGCATCTGTTCTTTCACACGCTAATCGGTCAATCACATACGTAGTATGTTTTATACAATTATTTTGCAATTTGCACTAAAATTCATCACACCTCGTAGAAGATCTCTTGGAAGAAGCAGAATTTTCATTCAAATTTGAATAGTTCACTGAAATCATCGATCTTAGTTACACAACACTGAATTCCTATGTCTATTTGAGCTATGAGATTGTACTTCATCTGATGAAAAAGTGAGAAAATTTTAAATTTTGCCAAAATGTTCGCTACTTTGACGTGTTGCTTAGTCGGATTATATGTTTTATAAGGAAGACAAATTTGTGTGTTGATTATGATAAATGTAAACCTCAAGATATCTCATCGAAACGATGTTATCATGCAAAAGGTTTCTACTCTACGAATAAACTTGTTATGAATGAATGTTTCGATAAGACAATATGTGTCAATGTTGTATCCATATAAATGAGATTTCAAAGTCATCACTTAAATGACACACAATGTTTGCATTACGTTCCACCTGTCAATCAATGGTTTCATTTACCCATCGATAAATGACCCAAATACTTAGAATACAGATAATTTCATTTTTGATGACTAATTTAAAACTTGAAACTGCTGGTTTAGTAGATGAAACGAAAGTGATTGCGATGATCAAATAGATAGATTATTGTGAAAATTTTGCATCAAATGAACGATCATAATACGAACAGATAATTTACCTGCACTGTCATCAGATATCCATTTGATAGCCACTAATTTATCTGAAATAATGAAAATATATAGAATTCATCAAATCCATGGAAGAAGAATGAGCTTTACAGTAGGCTGCTGTTTTCGCTACAACATTCATGGGATTGTCTGCAGTAAAATGAACAATCATCATTTACATGGAAATTGCATACGATTCTAATGTTCGTATCATTTTCAATCCATCGACCAAATCAACCGAGAATTATTTTCTGGTTCTGTTAGGTGGATTCTAGAATATGCAGTCTGACTCAGTGTCCATTAACATCTATTCAATAATATGTGCCGAATAGCTTTCTCACAAATGTCAGTATCACGTTTTCATTGAAATGAAATTCGATAACTTACTCTAGCAGTAGTTTGTGCATACATTTGAATTGTCGGACTACAGTTAGTTAACGGTTTTTACATCGAAATTCTATTATTCTCGTTGAGTACTGTATTCCATATCAAACTGACTGATACGTGGAAATGTTTTTTCATCAACTCTTACTCTGTTGAGTGACTGATCTGAATTGACTTAAACTGGTTACGTATAACTGGGATTGCATTAGGCATGTATAGGTCTGTGTAATTTCTGTTTAGTTCGAAGTAATATCTACTTTATTCAACATTATGTTCTACAAAATTCCTCTACACAAATTTCCAACTAACACAAATTTTTGAACTGAACGAAATAATTTCTCCTTATTGGTTGACTCTGCAGCATCAGCAAACGTCAACATTTTGTCAGTGTTGGGTTGTGGAGATGTTGAGTTTTATTGAAATCATGAATCGATCAATGTTAGAAGACTATGTGAAACCAGGAAGCACTGGACAACCATTTCATCCTAGAACCAGCATCATGAACAATCAGCATCCGAAATCCACAAGCGAAGATGGAACTCCTTCAACGCTTAATCTCTTCACTACTGAATCAGCATGCAATGGCGTTGAAGAGTAATATATTTATGTGGTGTACACAAAAGAGTAATTTTGTTCTCTGTAGAATAACTCACCTTGAAATGCAATGTGCATATTATATTTGCGCTTTTCGTCTCCATAGATAAAAATGACTTGTTTCAGCTCAGATGTCCTATTACTTAAATATGATTTGCCTGTTTAGAACAAATAAAATTAGGGAAGTCAATATATTTTCAAGTTATAAATCAACGACAAACGTTTCGAGAATAATTCAAAATTATTACTAAGTACAAATGGCACTAAGCAACTTCATTCACTTGACATACAATTTCTTACCCGTATCTTTTATACTGAACCAATCGTAATGCTCACCGAAGAATTCCATACTGAATGGTAGAGTGAAACCCTTAAATTAAAAAAAGTGCACAATCATTTGTTTCAGTTGTGTTAAACAAAAAACATTACTTACCACTGAATTCCCATGAACTTTTTGAAAGTTCGCATTACCATCTGGAGGATTCTGATTGAGACTTACTATCTGAGAATAGTAGTAATGATCAAGCTAGTTATCTATCATTAGTTTTCTAACCATATTCTTACCTGTACATATGTTTCGTTCGCGAAAACACTATCGTTATACGAAACGAAGCCGATCTTACTCAGTTCATTACAAGTTGTTTGGCATTCCAAGTAAGTTAGAAATGAAATTCCAATTAAATGAAATAATATCAACCGATTGGATAGCATGTTGTTATTCTTATTCTCAATTGAAATATCTGAAATGAATAATACAATATCAATCAGTCAAAATCAAGTGATAATATACTACTACATTTATTGATCAAAAAACACCTAAGTGAACACTCACCACAACTCCTGATTAAATGAATCATTAAGAAATGTGATTTATATATCAATATGCACCAATCAAATTTCTATAAATTTCATCACATGAAATATATTTATTTCTGATTGGATAATCTAAATTATTGATTAATGACATTGATGAAATTGTGTGTTGATTGGTAATCTTATCATTCAACTGAAACAAACTCATTTCTATTTCATTAAACTAATGAATAGTGTGAAATCAAAATATTGAACAAGAGAAACAGATAAATCAGAATAAAACATTAATGGCAACCTACGTGAAGAATGATGGACTTGAAGGTTGAGTGAACAAACAAACAGACAAACACAATTATTAAATTATAATCCACAGTTATCTGCTGATGCAATTCAGTAAAGTGCATTGAAACAATTCACAGAGTTATCTATACAACAAGAACGGTCAATATGGAGTGGTGAATATTGTCGAGTTTAAAAAGAATCATGAACTCATCAATATCAAACCAATGGATGATCGTTACGTTCAAGTGAGGGACTCATTAGCAATGTGCATTCACAAGTCCTAAAGTGAAATTCGGATGCGACACATCGGTCTCATGTGTAAAAAATTAGCTTCTTTACCAGTAAGGCGTTATCGGATGTCGCGTTCTTAGTAGGCATCAGGGAGTGGACTTCTATTGAGGATGTGAATCGTTTACGTCTTGTGTGGAGAATGTATATAACGTGATACTTCGTTTGGTTTAGTTTTAAACAGTTTTTCACTTCCCATTCCTCAATGGATATCAGGTCGTTTTGAAGCTAAGTCTAATCATCTTCGCTTCTAAACGACCTTCAAATCTCCACAGCATCTGCGTGGTTCAATGCCAATGAGTTATCTATGTCTAGCTGGTCGTTATTAAATATCAGGAAGAGAAGTGGACTTAAGATGGTACCGCGTGAATCTCCTGATGTGGATACTCACTAGCTCATGTGCAATCTATTTACCTTGGTACGAATATTTCTATTCTCAAGGTAGTTTCTGGGGCATGCAGGAGGATCTCTGATCATTTGTTAACAAATAATCCACGTTTGACGACTTTCCTCCTTTAGTCCATCTAGTGTTTGGCATGCGACAACACATAATACGTGGCGGAAGTTAAATGAACTTGATCATTTTATGTGGTATTGAATGAGACAATTGTGCGATAACTCTACATTCTACAAGTCACATTATCTGAGTGCACACAATCTTAAAACGACCAAAATTTGTAGTTGTATGCTTCTGCAGAATGTAAATAGTTCAGTCAAATCTGATTCCTTTCGTTCTGACGATGTGACTTTGTCAGGTTGGACAACCATTTTCATTGTTCTCCCCTGAACATTGATGCCATTTACAATGTACATTAACTTCTTCTATTTAGTAGGTGAGGTGCTTGATTGATCAATCAATGCTGTAACAATGATTGTTCATTGTGTTTCACTTTGTGTAGAATCGTTCTCAGTGTGGTGAATTGAATATTGGTGACCTATGTTCAGCTGGCGTTATATAACATACCTCATTAAATGACGAGTCTCGGAAGGCAACTTTACATTTCAATTGTCCTAACGGACGAAGGTATTTACCACATGCTGTACGAGGCTTCTGTGTTACGTGTTGCAGGCTTGAGCTACCCAATTTGGTCAAATTTTCACGTGAGAGGATGGTGACATCAGATGCGATTTCTATTTTCAATCTGCACAAATGCCCGTTAATATTAGGAGTAATAAATCTCCTCTCACCTGGTGATGAGCTTTGGCAGGAAGATATTAGGCTCAATGCATTGTTACTGGATCTAGGAACCGGCTTCTTAGCACTTCTCGATCGGTTTGACGTTTTCTTTGGGCGAAAGCCGTCTTTATCACCGATGACCTTACACTTCCTGAATCTATGTTGCCTAAATGGGCAGTTTCATACAATGTGTCATGAGCCGCAGTGCCAGCCAGCAAGCAACAACGGGATTCATTTTGGCATTTTGGGCATAGCTGTAGCCGGATGAACTGGGTGTAGCATGGGCAGACTTAGTATGACTAGGTGGCTGCTGTACCAAATGTACTTCAGATCGACCTGAACTACCACTCTCCAATGTGTTTGGGTCTCATTGTAGGTTAATGAGAGGTTGGTACTCATTAGCCATGTCATTAAGCGTCAGGTTCGGATCTTGCCCCAACCAACATAGTAGCCTTGTTCTAATGTCACTGAACTTATGAGACTGGAGTCTGCAGATAAGTATAAGGGCTTTAAACTGATCTCCCGACAAAGACTTCTGGCTTTTTCTTTAAACAGTTATCAATGTTGGAAATAGTCA